GCCTGTCCAAAAATCATATAAATACAGTTGATACTTGGTCAAAACTGGAAGAAATCATCCGATATTTAAATTCTATGGCTTTTGATCACAAGAAAAAATATCGAGTCAACAATTTTAGCAATGGCTCCCAAAATGGTTGGAATAAAATACAGCTCAGATATAGTTGTGCATGCTTTTGGGTACTATGCAAAATCACGGACATTGTATAATGAATAAGGATATGATTTTCAATTACCATCATTAGCAACATTATGAAGGATGACGTCAAAAGTTTCAAAATTTAAAAAATCTTTTTTGTTATCTATATTTAATACTCTTAATACCAGTCAAAAAGGGTGCATAATTTGAAGTATATATCAAAAAGATGTTGCTATATCAACAACTATTTGGTAAATCAGTTGACAATCCATCTGTACTTGCTCAAACAGTACTTGGTATAATGTTAATATGTCTCAATGGGGGTCCAAATTTTCTTACAAAATTGATTCCAATTTCAAAATTAACATCCGCCTTTTTATTTGAACAAATTGAGTTAACAGTCCAAACCATCACATCTGTACCAGCTGATGTAAAGGCTATTATATGTGATGGCAACCCCGTAAATCAAGCTTTTTTAAAATTATATCCTACACTTCCTGAAAAACCTTGGTTAACTGAAGATAATAAACATTTGCTTTTTGATTATGTTCATCTGTTGAAAAATATTCGCAATTTGTGGCTGACAGAAAAAACAGGAGAACTAATCTTTGATGATGATGGAGTAAGTCGAGTTGCAAAATGGACACATCTTAAACAGTTATATCGTTTTGAATCTGAAAGACTAGTCAAACTTTCAGATTTAAATGAAATTTCCATTGCTCCAAAGCCAATAGAAAGACAACGGGTTTCTACTTGCCTCAGAGTGTTTTCTGAAAAAACATATAATGCACTTCTCACTCAGTCTGAAATAAGTGCAGGTAAGAATGATACTGTCCTCTTCATAAACAAGGTTTTGAAATGGTGGAAAATTTTAAATGTTAAATGCCTTCAAATTGATAAATTACATAATGATCCTCTACAAGCTGAAATCAAATCTCCAAATGATACCTGGCTTGATTTTATCATTGAATTTGGTAAAATGGCTCTTAATATGGCTGGCAGTCAAGGTAATCGTAAAAACAATTATCCTAAAACACTCCTACTGCCATACATCATATTTGCAATGGAATTGTTAGTTTGTGTCGACACCTTTTAGCTAAAAGTCATAAATATGTACTACTTGGGCAATTTTCAACTGACCCATTAGAAAAAGAATTTGGTAAACTTCGCCAAGGATCAGGTGGCACCTATTTTATAAACGTTCAACAATGTATTGAAAAGCTGCATATTAAGCAGACATCTTTACTTTTAAATCAAAATGTAAATATTGATGAATTTGATGTTAATCCAGATCACCAATGTACATCTTGTGATTATAAACTTTGTGAGGAATGTTCAGAAATATTTGACAATCTGGAAAATTTAGAACCAGGTCTATCCTGATCAGGGGTGGTAGCACCTGTTAGGATCCCAGCTATGGGCAATTTGGGAACCCCAAACTGGGGCCAAAACACTATGAAAGTATAAAAAATAGATTTTCATATTAAAAAAACAAAAAAAAACACCTAAAAAAAAACAAAAAAAAAACAGAAATACATTTAAGTAATTATCTGTCTATATTTCTGAGGTGAACTATAGCAATAATTTACTTTATTCGGACTGATGTCCTCATCTTTATTGTCATGTTCACGACATTTCAGACTGTTGCACGACTCGGCCTTCTTCAGGTGATCGTAATTTTGAACTGGATCCTTTTTTTTCCTCCAACAGGGTAGTTTTAGTTCCACGTGCCTCACCTCTTCCGGATGTATCAGATATCTCCCTTTTTCTGAATTCTCCAATCTTTTTTTTTTCTTTACTGCCCTAGCCAGGTATTGAACTCACAACTCTTTGGGTCAAATCACAGGATCCAACCAACGTTTTTATCCACTGGCCCGAACGATAAAAATAATGTGAAAAAAATATTAATACATATTCGATTCATACGAATCTATCCTGAAAATCTTGACGGCATTAAATAACCCATTAAATTTGATATGCCGTAAAAAATAAACCAGACCAAACCAGACTCTCAACAAAAACCCTCTTTACAACAATGCGTCAATGAAACCTGATCTACAAACTGATTTATTAAAAAGAATACATATTCTATTTATACGAAATTATCCTAAAAATCTTGTCGGCATTAAATAACACATTGAGCTTGATATGCCGTAAAACAAAATAAACTAAACCATCTTAAATATCATGTCAGCATTAAGCCATTCAGGTTGATATTGCCTTAAAGCAAAATAAATTAAACCAAACCTAAAGTAAAAATATCTTTTTTTTTAATAATTTCGCTTAAGCAAGGCGATAATCCCACTAAGACGCGATGGATTACTGTGAGTGAAAGAGATTTTAAATACACATTTTATTTTTTTATTTATATTATTCGTAATTCTAATGCATTTTATTCATTCGTTTATTTATTTATTATTACTGAGAATGAGATCAGTAGAATTTTTCAGCATATAAAATTTATATAAAATTCTTCGAAGCTAATGTTTAGGATTAAAAACTACTTTTCCTATTTATTTTAAAATTAATGATAGTAAGGATATTAGACAAATGATACAACCCAACTCAATAACATTATCATTAAATGAGGCCAAAAAAAAAAAAAAACTAATTTCATCTGTTTCGGTTTGAGTTACACTAAAAAAAATGATGGGAGGACTGAAGTCCTCAGTCCACCCAAAGTGGCATGGACGAAAAAAAGCTTAAAGTCGGAAAGAAAGAATTAAACGAAATCAAGAAATAAAATGAAAACAAACAGATCGATAGCAATAATGGCGGAATTCAAAGAAACAGACGAAATATCAAAGAATAACCGGTTGATGAAATAAGGAGAAAAAAAAAAAAAAAAGAGGAAAGAAGGAAAAGGAAAGGAAAGATAAAAAGTTAGGATGCGTAGAAAGAAAGAAAGAAAGAAAGAAAGAAAGAAAGAAAGAAAGAAAGGTAATCGGAGTAGTAAAGGAAGGAAAATGAGAAAAAAATCGAGAATAAAAGTCTAGAATGAATTATAAATGAAAAGAAATCTATTTAGAAAAAAATGGCGGAAATAGAGAATAAATTAAGAAGGAGAGAGAAAGAAAGAAAGAAAAGTAACAATTGGGATAATAAAAAAAACAGAAAGAAAGAAAGAAAGAAAGAAAGAAAGAAAGAAAGAAAGAAAGAAACAAAGAAACAAAGAAAGGAAAAAGGAAATCGGAGTAGTAAAGGAAGGAAAATGGGAAAAAATCGAGAATAAAAATCTAGTATAATGAATGAATAATGAATGGAAAGAAATCCATTTAGAAAAAAATGACGGAAATAGAGAATAAATTAAAAAGGAGAAAGAAAGAAAGAAAGAAAGAAAGAAAGAAAGAAAGAAAGATAAAAGAAAGAAAGGAGGAAATACAGAAAGAACGACAGAAAGAAAGAAAGAATCGTACGGAAATGTAGAAAGAAAGAAAGAAAGAAAGAAAGAAAGAAAGAAAGAAAGAAAGAAAGAAAGAAAGAAAGATAAAACCAAGAAAGGAGGAAATACATAAAGAACGACAGAAAGAAAGAAAGAATCGTACGGAAATGTAGAAAGAAAGAAAGAAAGAAAGAAAGAAAGAAAGAAAGAAAGAAAGAAAAAGCTTAAAGGAAAGAAAGAAAGAAAGAAAGAAAGTATCGTACGGAAATGTAGAAAGAAAGAAAGAATCGTACAGAAATGTAGAAAGAAAGAAAGAAAGAAAGAAAGAAAGAAAGAAAGAAAGAAAGAAAGAAAGAATCGTACGGAAATGTAGAAAGAAAGAAAGAAAGAAAGAAAGAAAGAAAGAAAGAAAGAAAGAAAGAAAGAAAGAAAGAAAGATTAAAGGAAAGAAAGAAAGAAAGATTAAAGGAAAGAAAGAAAGAATCGTACGGAAATGTAGAAAGAAAGAAAGAAAGAAAGAAAGAAAGAAAGAAAGAAAGAATCGTACGGAAATGTAGAAAGAAAGAAAGAAAGAAAGAAAGAAAGAAAGAAAGAATCGAAAGAAAGAAATGAAAGAAGTACGGAAAGAGAAAGAAAGAAAGAAAGAAAGATTAAAGGAAAGAAAGAACGAAAGATTAAAGGAAAGAAAGAAAGAATCGTACGGAAATGTAGAAAGAAAGAAAGAAAGAAAGAAAGAAAGAAAGAAAGAAAGAAAGAAAGAAAGAAAGAAAAAAGAATAATGGAAATGTAGAAAGAAAGAAAGAAAGAAAGAAAAGAAAGAAAGAAAGAATCGTACGGAAATGTAGAAAGAAAGAAAGAAAGAAAGAAAGAAAGAAAGAAAGAAAGAAAGATTAAAGGAAAGAAAGAAAGAATCGTACGGAAATGTAGAAAGAAAGAAAGAAAGAAAGAAAGAAAGAAAGAATCGTACGGAAATGTAGAAAGAAAGAAAGAAAGAAAGAAAGAAAGAAAGAAAGAAAGAATCGTACGGAAATGTAGAAAGAAAGAAAGAAAGAAAGAAAGAAAGAAAGATTAAAGGAAAGAAAGAAAGAGAGATTAAAGGAAAGAAAGAAAGAATCGTACGGAAATGTAGAAAGAAAGAAAGAAAGAAAGAATCGTACGGAAATGTAGAAAGAAAGAAAGAAAGAAAGAAAGAAAGAAAGAAAGAAAGAAAGAATCGTACGGAAATGTAGAAAGAAAGAAAGAAAGAAAGAAAGAAAGAAAGATTAAAGGAAAGAAAGAAAGAAAGATTAAAGGAAAGAAAGAAAGAAAACAAATTAAAAAGCATAACGATAAAGACACGAAAAAAATGTCGGACAGGAATGAAAAAAAGAAAATGAGAGAAAGAGAAAAGTAAAAATCGGGTCAATAACGAAAAATGGTTAAAGAAAGAAAAATGAATGAAAGAGAGAAAGTAAAAATCGGGAAGATAAAGAATATAGGTTCAAAAGAGAAAGAAAGAAATAAAGAAAGAAATGTAAAAAATCGAGGTGGAAAAAGAGGAAGAAGGTAGAAATAAAGAAAGAAGGAGAATTGAGTAAAAGAAAAAAAAAGAGACTAAAAAGAAAACAGAAACAATCCAGTTTGAAACAAAGAAAAAAATTAGAAAGAAAGAAACGAATGGAAAAAAGAAAGATAGAATTGTAATTGAAAAGAAAAAAAGAATGAAAGAAAGAAAGAAAAAAGAAAGAAAGAATTGTAATTGAAAAGAAAAAAAGAATGAAAGAAAGAAAGAAAAAGAAAGAAAGAATTGTAATTGAAAAGAAAAAAATGAAAGAAAGAAAGAAAAAAAAAGAAAGAAAAGAATTGTAATTGAAAAAAAAAAAAATGAAAGAAAAAAGAAAGAAAAAAGAAAGAAAGAATTGTAATTGAAAAGAAAAAAAGAATGAAAGAAAGAAAGAAAAAAGAAAGAAAGAATTGTAATTGAAAAGAAAAAAAGAATGAAAGAAAGAAAGAAAAAAGAAAGAAAGAATTGTAATTGAAAAGAAAAAAAGAATGAAAGAAAGAAAGAAAAAAGAAAGAAAGAAAAAGTCGAAGATTATTGGCCAGAAATTCGAAATATTTTGTATTAATCGATTCGTTGGATTATCGCATAAAACAAGAAAAGAGAAAGAGAGAGGAAGAAACAAAATGGTAGACAGGAGAAGGAAGCACTGAAAGAGAGACGTAGGACACATAACAATATAGAAGTAGAGACGGAGAAAGGGAGAGAGAAAGATGGATAGCATGAGACATGGAAGGGCAATAAGAGAGGGTGAGAGATGGCAGAAAAACAGAGAGAAACAATGGAGAAGGATGCAGAGAAGGAGAGATAGAAGGACAGAAGGAGAGATGGAGATAGGGCAACAAGAAAGATAAGAGCACATCGAAAGGGAGAGGTGAGAGTAAGACATACAGAAAAATGGAGATGGACAGTAAAAGACAGAGGAGCAAAGAGAGGGAGTGACTGAGAGAGAGAGAGAAAGAGAGGATGCAATGTCAATGTTTCTTTATAATGAAACGGCTAATAATACGATTATCATAAGAGGATAACAGATACTACATTTTATTCCCAAACCAAGAAACTTATATCAAGTGTCAGACTGGCAGCTTGGACAATGAATGCAGAATGTTTCCTTGTAAGGAAACGGCTAATGTTACCAATACTTTTAGAAAAGAGAACAATTACTACACTTTGACCCCATCCCGAAAGGCCAGTGAGTGAAGAAAAGCGTACCTCGAGTAGCACTGGCTGCTAGGTCAATGAATGCCAAACGTTTCTTAATAAGGAAATGGCTAATATAACCATTTCCTTTAAAAAAAAAGAGGAAAACAGATACTACACTTTGATCCCACTCCGAAAGCCAGTGAGTAAAGAAAGGCGTAACTCGAGTCAATGAATGCCAAATGTTTCCTTATAAGGAAACGACTAATATAACCATTTCCTTTAGAAAAGAGGAGAACAGATACTACACTTTGATCCTATTCCGAAAGCCAGTGAGTAAAGAAAGGCGTAACTCGAGTCAATGAATGCCAAATGTTTCCTTATAAGGAAACGACTAAGATAACCATTTCCTTTAGAAAAGAGGAGAACAGATACTACACTTTGATCCTATTCCGAAAGCCAGTGAGTAAAGAAAGGCGTAACTCGAGTCAATGAATGCCAAATGTTTCCTTATAAGGAAACGACTAATATAACCATTTCCTTTAGAAAAGAGAACAGATACTACACTTTGATCCTATTCCGAAAGCCAGTGAGTAAAGAAAGGCGTAACTCGAGTCAGTGAATGCCAAATGTTTCCTTATAAGGAAATGACTAATATAACCATTTTTTAGAAAAAGGAGAACAGAAATATACTCTTTGGAAAAATGACTAAATATATGAATGCCAAATGTTTCCTTTAGACTAATAAAAGAAAAAGGAGAACAGAAATATACTCTTTGATCCTATTCCGAAAGCCAGTGAGTAAAGAAAGGCGTAACTCGAGTCAATGAATGCCAAATGTTTCCTTATAAGGAAACGACTAATATAACCATTTCCTTTAGAAAAGAGGAGAACAGATACTACACTTTGATCCTATTCCGAAAGCCAGTGAGTAAAGAAAGGCGTAACTCGAGTCAATGAATGCCAAATGTTTCCTTATAAGGAAACGACTAATATAACCATTTCCTTTAGAAAAGAGGACTACACTTTGATTCAAAAACAGTGAGTAAAAAACGTAACTTTGATCCTAATATAACCATTTCCTTTAGAAAAAGAAAGCCATTGAGTAAAGTAAAGAAAGGCGTAACTCGAGTCAATGAATGCCAAATGTTTCCTTTATAAGGAAACGACTAATATAACCATTTCCTTTAGAAAAAGGAGAACAGATACTACACTTTGATCCTATTCCGAAAGCCAGTGAGTAAAGAAAGGCGTAACTCGAGTCAGTGAATGCCAAATGTTTCCTTATGAGGAAATGACT